GCACAGATGTTAGCTCAGGATGAATCTTCCCCAAGCCAAAAAAGATAAGTAAAAAGAAGAAGATTGGTGATTAAAATTAGCTTAGGGACAAACTTAATTAAATAAAAAAAAAAAAAAAAAAAAAAAACCAGAAAAAAGAAAAAAAAATTATGGAAGACTGTCAGAAATCTCAAATATGATTTCATGCCTACAGTTATATAATAGCTAGTACACAGAACAACTCTCTATGAAGTCTCATTTAATTATTGAGTTAGAGGTTCAAAAAATGCGGATAGTATATAGGACATGGTTTGAAAATTTATGATGTACAGTGAAAGAATACAATATAGAAAACAATTACAAAAAGAAAACATACAAGATATAATGCAAAGCATGTAGCATGGGGAGGTGTGGGTCCTGTGGAAACTGGGGTGCCTAGGTGCTAAAAATTAATATACACAAAGCCAGCAGTGTCATTTATTTGGATCAATACAAAATCTGAGAAAAGGCCAGGACTGGGATTTAGAAAAAGAGGAATTCTTTCAGCAAGAGGCATAATACTCATTCCGTAGGAACTATACTATGGGGATGAAGACAACAAGGAAGATAAAAAGGGAGACAGTGTGGTGTTAAGGGAAGAATGCAAATTTACATCTATTCTAATATTTGCTCTAAAAGTGATCCAACTGAATATGCCATAAATTCCATTTTTAGGTATATACTCGAGAGTCATATATACATTCCAGAAAACATGTACAAGAATGTTCTTAGTAGGATCCCAAAAGCAAAAACATGGAAAAGACTACCAAGAGAAGAATGGATGAATTCACTCTGTACAAACACATATCCATGCGATAAAACCCTCGCAAGGGTCCAGCAATAGAGGGTGATGATGGGTGCTGGATAATGATCACTGACTGGGGGTACAGAGGTTGTATGGTGGAAACAAATTAGCGGGAGGTTATTGTCAAGGTTTCATTCTTTGGAGATGTGATTATATTTGGTAAAACATAACTCATGAACTATATTATATAGATTTAAAAATAGAAATTTATCAGTTTTGACACATTGAGTTTGTTAGTCCAAGTGTCCTTGTATGTTATTTAAAATAACAGACTCTCCTTTGCTTTAAAACTTCAATTATTTGAAATCATTTCTTTCAATCTTTTGACATTACAATCCCAAAGACATATGAGATAGTACATGGGAAATGCTCTTAGTGGACATACAGTTATTATCCTTATGAATTTATAGAAATTAATATAGACTAATCTAAAAGTAATCAGTTCTAACTTCACAAACATCAGAAAGCAGTACCCCCTCAAGGGTATTACTAAATAACCTAGAGCAAAGAATTGCTGGCAAGGAAAAAGGGTGTTAGTTGCAGCATTTAAGTGTAGGAAAAATTTTTGGCAGTACCATGGTGATCCACGGCAGAGAGCTATGTACAGAGATGTGCTAAGCAAAATAAGTGTCCAATAATACTCAGAACAAAAGGACAGCAATGGAATGTGTGTCAATAAGGACCAGGTACTTATTATAGAATTCAGCTGAAAGGGAAGACAGGGAACAAAACAAGCTTCATGGCTTAATTGAAATATGTACTTTCAAGAACGTAAATTGTCTGGGCAACAGGAATCTCAAAAGCAGTAGTAATGAGGGAATAATGGAGTGTAAAAAAATGCCTATTTTCTCTTACATAAAAGAGGATATTTAAATATTAGTCTAGTATACGAAGATGTGCATGACAAATCAAGATAGAATAATTAATAGAATAAACAATTTATAGCAAAATAATAAAAAATCAGTGAATTAAAATCAAATCCAAGTATTTTTCAGAAAACTACATATACTATGGAAAAAGCAATGTATCTTACCTAAAAAAAAAAAAAAACAGAAAACCACATGAATGGTATTTCTGTAGCTAAGTAACGTAATAAAAAATGTTTTCAACATATTAAAAATTCTCAGTTTCAAAAATGCAATAAATTTGAGGAAAGTGTGTAAAAACAATGAGATACCACTACAAACATGAGAATTGACAAAATCTAGAACATTGACAACATCAAATACTGTCAAGGATCTGGAGAAAGAAGAACTTTCATTCACTGCTGATGGGGATGCAAAATGGTACCCCAACATTGGAAGATACTTTGTCTTTTGTGACAAAACTGAATGTAGTTTAACAACATGATGTAGCAATCATGCTCCTGGGTATTTACCCAAGTGATTTGAAAAGTTATTTCCAATAAAAACATGCACATAAACGTTTATAGCAGCTTCGCCCATAACTGCCATAACTTGGATGCAACCAAGATGTTCTTTTGAAGGTGTATAGAGAAATAAACTGAGGCGCATCCAGATAATGGAAGCATCATCCAGCACTAAAAAGAAATGAGCTATCAAGCCATGAAGAGACATGGATGAAACTGAAATGCATATAACCAAGTGAAAGAAGAAAATCTGAAAGGGCTATATACAGTTTGATTCTAACTATATGATATTCTTGAAAAGGCATACGAAGATAGTAAAGAGATCAGTGGTTGCAAGGGTTAAGAGGGAGGGAGAGATGAACAGGCAGAGAACAGAGGATTTTTAGGGCAATGAAACTAGTCTGTAAGATACTATTATGGTAGTTATGTGTCATTAAATGTTGGTCCAACCCAGAGAATGTACAACATCAAGAGTGAACTCTAAGGTAAAGACGGACTTTGGGTGATAATGAGGTGTCAGTGCAGGTTCATCAATGGTAACAAATGTAGCACACTGGTGTGGGATGTTGATACTGGGGAGGGTCTGCATGTGTAGGGGTAGGAAATATATGGGAAATCTCTGTACCATTTGCTCTATTTTTCTGTGAAACTAAAACTGTTCAAAAAAATTGTCTACAACAAAGGTGTCTCTTAACACTACTAGGCACTAAGTAATATGAAACAAGTAAACATAATAACTAAGACTATCTCTTCAAAAAATTGTGGAGATTATACAGGTCTAATAATGAGTCATAACCACTCAAGAAAGAAATCACATGATGTATATAAAACAATATTCATTCCTTGACCCCGCAACCCCAAATTGCAGGAAAAAAAAAGAACACTAAGGGTATCATCAACAATATCGAGCTGATGAAATAAATAGAAAACAACGTCATTTATAACAATGAAATTTGCAAGATGAAAGTGTGACTTAAAACAAATTACAGTAGACTTAAAAAGTATAGGCATCATTTCACTTGATAAACTCCTTCAATAAATGTGTCAAAAGCATAGTTGTTGAAGGTGAATGAAAAAGAGGAGACACAGGGGAGACACGGGATAAACAATGTGGCATGAACAGCAGTTTACTCAACAGTCTCACAGAAATTAGGTTGTGAACTTGAACAGTGTTCTCCTTAGGTTAAGTTCCTACACCTTTTATTTATTGCCCGCTCAAAGGAGATGATCGTATTATATCTCAACAACATTGTCATAGTGCCCTTAGGAGACACTGTTCAAGTCCTCAAAAACCTGGACAATTGGAATCACTTTTCAGTCAGGCTCTCCTAATACTTTCCACCTCAGGATCCTGGGACATGCTGACTACTACACACTGGCTTCCAGAGGCACTTCTGTAAGGAGCAGGATGATGTTCTAACATTATTTATTAATCAGTATTCTCCTTCAAGAATTTTCTATTACCCAGTAAACAACCTCCATGGGAGAGTCCATCAAAAGTTGTTCCTCACCTAAAGATGAGTTATCTCAAAAGAAAAAGAGGATGAAACTTCAGACCCTTGGAATGTGTATTTCAAAAGTAAGTTTCAGAGGCAAAATTTAGGAAAATAAGAAATCAGGAAGACCAAGTTCTTTCTATGTTCCCTGGCAGACAGAGCAGGAAGAGGGAGAAAAATATAAGGTATGGGAGTAAAATAAGAGAGTCGGATATTGGGAGGTTCTTGAGAAGGGCCCGCGCACTGTGCCTACGGGCTGTGGGGTGAGCACCTGAAAGACTGAGATATACTCCCATGTAGCAACGGGGACCAAAGAGAGAATCTCAGTGTCTAGTCTTTATATTACTTCTCAGCGACAATCTCAAATCACTTTCCTCTTTACACACATGTGGCAAAAACAGAACTGAAGAGATGGCTGAGGGGCCTGAACAGGCAGAAAGGGCCTGACACAGCCCAGGGAGTTTCATGGCACCCCACAGACAATGGAAGAGCAGCTATTTTCTTGTCCATCTCCTGGTAAGTTCTACCAAGGACATGAAATGTGAATGAAAACTGAAGAGGTCCTGAGGTCAGGACTACAGAGGCCTCAGCGATCTCTATGGACTGAGAACCAAGAGAGATGAAGGGGAAAGAAGACTCCATGGAGACAGCCATCTTGGTCTCCCTCAAATCAAGGGGCCAAAGTGGTGACAGGAGCCAGATGATAGAGTATTGCGTGTCATGATAAAGCTTTCGCTGCCTCTGCGTGAGCTGGAGCATCATGGTAGAGTGCGAGTTTAAACATTTACACATTTCAATAGCAGTGGTAAGTGTGTGTAGTTGGTGGGGGGCAATGTCTTTTGAGAGCTCATAAGCAATGAACCTTTATTTTCCCACAGATCACTCCCCATTGAGGAGAGTTTCTCAAACAATATTTAACAGGGCAGCTTACTCTGAGCCCATCTATCTGAGCTCATACTTGTGTTCACATCTCCATACATTCCAAACCATCTGTATTTTTTCCTACCTTCCCTTCACTCTCCACATTCCAGGGCTGTTTCCCTTGTTCAAAAATGGAGATAATATTCTACTCAAGAGAGATTTCCACTTACAAAGAAAAATGGAACATGATATGCTATGTTTCTCCAGAACACATTCTCAGCTCTTTGTTAAGCTGAGAGAACGTTACAGATGGGTCTAGAAAAATATTTCAAAAATCAGCCAACTGACTGCCTCCTGAAAGCTAAGAGGTCATTTTAAGTATGCAGGCATCTGGGGCTGGCACGGTCACATAGTGGTTAAGTTCGGCACACTCCACTTAGGCGGGCCAGGTTCACGGGCCCACATCCCAGGCGCAGACCTACACCACTCGTCAGCATGTCCCAGTGAACCACATGCCAAAAAGGGGAAGATTGGCACAGATGTTAACTCACGGCTAATCTTCCTCAAGCAAAAAAAAAAAAAGAGGAAGATTGGCAACAGATGTTAGCTGAGGGTGACTCTTCCACAGCAATAAAAAGTATGCAGACATCCAGCTCTACCCCAAGAACTACTGCCTCAAAAGCACAAAAGTAAAACCACAAAGTCAGATATTTTTACAACTTTGCCATAAGGTTCTCTGACTACTACTGTTCTGCAACCACCACTAATCAGGCACAATATGTGCAGAACTTCTGAAGAAAGGGGAAGTTAGAGTCCATGGGCCACACTAGAAAGCCTTTCCCTTCTGAACCAAAACAACTTCAATCACTCTCTTAAGATTCGGGATTTGGAACTCAGACAAGTATGGTAGGGACTCCCAAGACACTCACAAGGGAGAATGCAAAGATATACAAAAGTAGTTACCAACTTCAGAAGGGAAGTTATCCTCACCCAGGGAGAGCAGGTTCCTGTAGTTCTCCAACATCACGTCCCTGTACAACGCCCTCTGAGCAGGGTCCAGGCATTCCCACTCCTCCCGAGAGAATTCTATGGCCACATCCCTAAAGGTCAACCGACCCTGAAAGGAAAGCACATTTCACCATGTCAACAAGGACAGAGTTCTTATTTTGACACAAATGAGACAAGCAGACATGTGTAAGGATTGACTCCGCTGGAGTCAGTCTTCTCACTCATGATGTAAGAAAATTTAGAGCAAATTATAGTGCTCTAATTTTCTCTTAAATGAGGTGAAATCCACATAACAAAGTTAGCCATTTCAAACTACAATTCAGTGGCATTTACTACATTCACAATGTTGTACAAACATCACTTCTATCTAGTTCAAAAACATCTTTCTCATCCCAAAGGAAATCCATTACCCACTAAGCAGTTGCTTCCCACTCCCCTCTCTCCCCAGTCCCTGGTAAACACTAATATTCTTTCTGTCTCTATGGATTTACCTATTTTAGATATTTTCATATCACTGGAATGGTGGGAAATGTGTGACCATTAGTATCTGGCTTATTTCACATAGAATAATAGTTTTGCTTCATTCATGGTGTAGTATGTATCAGGACTACATTCCTTTTTTATGGCTCAATAATTTCATTGTATGACTATAGCATGTTTTATTTATTCACTCATCCTTTCATGGACATTTGAGTTGTCACCACATTCTGGCTAATGTTAATTGTGCTGCTATGAACACATGTTTGAATATCTGTTTTCAAATCTTTTGCCTATGTACCTAGAAGTGGAATTACCGGTTACACGGTTTAATTTTTTAAGGAGATGCTACACTGTATTCCACAACAGTGAGACCGTTTTCCAGCAATGTATCAGGATTCTAATTTCTCCACATCTTTACCAACAGTTGCCATTTTGTGTTTTAGTGTATTCATCCTACTGTGTGACATGATATCTCATTGTGGTTTCAATTTTGCATTTTCCTGATGACATTTTATTGACCATCTCTTCACGTGCTTGTTGGCCATTGTATATCCTTTATGGAGAAACGTCTATTAAATTTGTTTGACCATTTTTTTAATTGAGCTCTTTGAATTTTGGTTGAGTTGTCGGAGTTCTTCATATATTCTGGATACTAGACCCAGACAAGATCTGTGATTTGGAAACATTTTCTCCCATTTGGTAGACTGTGTTTCACTTATGTGATAGTGCCCTTCAATGCACATATTTTTTAATTTTGCTGGAGACCAATTTATCTATTTTGTCTTTCTCTCTTTGCTTTTGGTGTCATATCTAAAAGTCCATTGCCAAATCCAAGGTCATCAAGATTTATCCCTACATTTTCATCAGCGTTTTATAGCTTTAGGTGTTATATTTAGGCTTCGGTGGATTTTGAATTAATTTTTTTATAAGGAAAGGGAGAGGTTCCATTTCATTCTCTTTCATGTGGATATGCAGTTATCTCCATGCCTCTTAAGAGACTATTCCTTTCTCACTGAAAGTTTTTGGCACCCTTGTGAAAAGGAACTGATTACAGACGTGAGTGCTTATTTTTGGACTCTCAGCTCTATTGCTCTGACTTATATTTCTATCCTCATGCTGGAACCACAGTTATGATTTCTTTAGGTTTGTAGTAAAGTTTGACACTGGGAATTTTAGTCCCCCAACTATGTTCATTTTAAATATTATTTTGCTTATTTGGGGTCCTTACCAATTCAATGTGAATTTTAAATTTGGGTTTCCTATTTGTGCAAAAAAGGCTGTTGGGATTTTGGTGGGGATTCCACTGAATCTTGCTAGTACTTTGAAGAGTACTGTCAGCTAAATAACACTAAGTCAACATTTTAGGTAGGACCCTTCAGAGACAGAGAAGATTAGCAAGTCCAACATATGGCAATTTAGGAAGGAGAGGACAGAACAATCCACTAAGAATATGACTTTTACCTTGGAAAGAGCCATTCCGCCTTTCTTTCCTCTTCGTCTGGGATTCCCAGGTTAGATTATTCTGTATGACAAAAATACGTTGTTCTATGCTTAGAATCACCACACCCCCTTCCTCTGCCACAAGTATACACATAGGGAGAACCTCAATACAGGGGACAGATGGCCCTTTGCTGCCCACTGTAACAGGAGGGATGCAGGGAAAGTAAACTCCAGACAGAGACCAATATATGAGTTTTTCACTCATTTCTCCAGAAAGCCCGACCCTCCTACTGAAACTCACACACACTGCTGCAACTGCATTCTCCTTTGTCCACTTAACATGAAGTGTAAGGAAACTGTGTTATCAAAATCTTGGCCCCTCCCTGGGCAGCCCACATCCAATGAGTGGTTGATGCAGGATATGGAAGTCTGTGCCTTCCTTCAGTTTGGACAAACTCTGAAAGGCTACCCAACTCCAGAGCTCCCTACTGTAGCAATATTTAGTTTAGATTTTTTTCCTGAGGGTGATGGCAAACCATCACAGGCCTTATTGTCAGATGACATAATCAAACTAAACATTTACCCATAAAACACAGAGAGGGGGAGAGTGAAGCTGAAGGAGAGGCATGCCTCTGTCTCTGCCTCTTCCTTAGCGATTTTCTTTATTTTTGTAGGACTGGGACACATTGCAAATAATAACTGGGCACCCTGTCCTAGAAAACTGGCAAATACAGACATACACCAAATTATGAAAATCATTATAGGGATCCCATTAGCTCAGACTCAGAATTCCTGGTCTACTCTATCAACTCCATGTTACAGGTGGGTGCAGTGAGGCTCAGAGGGGGAGGAAGTCTATCAAGTTACCTTGAAGAGGTCTGAGTTCAGTCAGCAGAACGGGGTGTAAGTGGTGGCCTGGACAGGGCAATAGAAAGGGTCTGCTCTAATTCCAGATTACATTTCACATTCCTAAGCAAGACAAGATTCTCTTTCATGGGTTTAATCAGATTCAAGCATTTAATTTCTCTTTTCCAGAAAAGTATTTTAAAAATGAAGTTAAAATAGTTACTAGTCTTGGAAAACATGAAGGAGGGTCACTTGGAGATGGGCTCTGAGCAATCCGTTCATCATGGACACACAGACTCTATTGGAACAAAGTTCCACATATATCTAGCCCATCCTTCAACATCTGTACCAAAAGGACACAGGGGACTTGAGGGGAACATCCACAAAGTTGGAGACTTCAGGTCAGAAGTCACTAATTTAACAGATCACTTTAGGGAAGATATAAACTGTTGAGTTTTAAACCGTTTAAACTAGGTTTTCAGTGATAAAAGATTACCAACATCCTTACCAAATGCATAATGAAATACTATAGTTATTCACAGACATCAAAGCACAGTTCCAATATATGACAGAGTAGAAGGCATACAAACCACATCCTCTGAACAATAAAATTAAGAGGGAAAATAATTTGGAAATTAAAAAAGTATTTAAGTTAAAACAAGTGTGAGGTACACCAAATTTAGAAAAGAAGGACATGAGCCACAGGTACAGTAAGTCCTCCCCCATTTCTTGAAAGGGAAGAGGGTGACCTGGAATTGACTAAGTCTCTGCCCTCAGGGTGAATAGGGGCTGCAAATGGAATTATCTTCTGGTGCAGTAATTAGAAAAAGTTGATGTCTCATAAACCTGGTTTTGTAACTCTCATTGTCTTCTGCAAAATTTTAGCAGTTCAACAAATATTTAATTAGGTTATAGAGCCACAAGTCAGTACTATTCACAACTTAATATCCCATAGCCAATCAAAATACTCGCCCAGGGTTTGGGTCCCTGGGTTTCTCCACCGCTGTGTTGTGTTCTCTGTATTTGTGTGTCCTTCCATTTGTGTGTCCTTCTGGTTCTCTCTCCTCGTCCATTTCTGTGTTTCTCCCTCTCTGTTTCTCCTTATCCTTTTGGTTCCCTCCCTCTCTATTCCTCCTCCTACACTGTTGGCCCCACTCGATTGCAACCTCTGTCTCAATCCCTGCGTTCTTTCTCTCTAAACTTTCTGGTGGCCTCTAACTCCATATATTTCTGTCTCTTTCTCCCCATCTCTGTTCCCCTCTGCTCTCCCTGGAGGGAGGCGAAGGGCATGTATTCCCTTGCTGAGCCAGGACTTCACCACAGGGTTGGGCGGGGTGAGGGGAGTGGGGCATGAGAAAAAGGTTGAGCAGGAAAACAACGGGGTGGTCAGTGTCTACGCAGACCCAAGGCAGAAAGGTTGGGCCTGCAGCTGTCTGAGATTTTAATGGGAAATGGACGCAGACTCCCAGACCCAACTGAGCTGCATGGCTCGGGACGTCTATGGCAAAGCCCCCGTGGGAAGTGAAAGGCACGAACTCACAGCGAGAGTGAGGAGGGGGTTCAGATGTTTTAACTTAGGGGGAGACCCCGAAACCTGGGCATGGAGGATGCGGGCCTGAGGATCCAGAAGCGCAGGCGCCAAGCAGAAACAGACTCACTGACCCTAGTGCGCTGGTTGCTCCGTGTGATCAACTTCCGGTCTCCAGGAAACTGCGCAAGCCATGCGTATGGGGGTGGGGCCAACAGGGCGGGGCTGGCATCAGGTGGCTGGTGGCGGGGTGTCTGAGGCTCTCCTCCGCCCCAGAAGGTTTCCCTGTGTGTTTGTCCTCCCCCCTCCAATAAGCCCTAGCCCTCTGCTTTCGGGTTCCTTTGAATCTGGTGTCCTTTGCAGCCCGGCTTCCTACAGAATTAGATGTGTGTCCACCACTCATCCTGGAAGCTGAGATATTTCCTCTTAAGAAATTGACAACGGGAGGCCAGGTCACAAGCAGTTAAGTGCATGTGCTCTGCTGCAGTGACCCTGGGTTCTCCGGTTCAGATCCGGGGCACACACCGATGCACTGCTTGGCAAGCCATGCTGTGGCAGAGCCCCATATAAAGTGGAGGAAGAGGGGCACGTATGTTGGCCCAGGGCCAGTCTTCCTCAGCAAAAAAAAAAAAGAGGAGGACTGGAAGATGTTAGCACAGAGCTGATCTCATCACAAAAAAAAAGAAAGAAAAGAAATTGACAACAAATGACATGAAAGCTTCTTGAGGAGCAGACAGAGATGCCTCTCCTCTGAGGGAGGCAGCTGGAGCACTGGGCCCTGTGGGAGTGCAGCAGTAGGCTGTGGGGGACAGTGGGATCCAGGAACATCTAAGAGATTTTCATTAATTTTGGAAACTGGGACACACTGAAAATTCTAACTGGGCACCGTGTACTAGAAAACTGTCAAATGTAGACATACGCCAAATTGTGAAGGTCATTTCAGGGATCCCATTGGCTCAGACTCAAAATTCCTGGTCTACTCTACCAATCTCCATGTTACAGGTGGAAGCATTGAGGCTCAGAGGGGAGAAAGTTTACCAAGATACCCTGAAGAGGTCTGAGTTCAGTGAGCAGAACAGGGTGTAAGTGGTGACCTGGATAGCGCAGTACAAAAGGTCTGCTCAAATTCCAGATTACATTTCACATTCCTGAGCAAGAAGAGATTCTGTTTGATGGGTTTAATCAAACCCAAGCATTTAATTCCTCTTTTCCAGAAAAATATTTAAAAAATGAAGTTACAAGTAGTTATTAACATGGGAGATCAAAATTGGCCACCCTGAAATATATCTCTTTACCTTGATTATTTTCTCTGAAAGAAACTTCAACCTTCCCCCAAACTTATGCCTAAAAGTGACAGACTGGGAGGGTTCTTGTTTAGCCCATTCTTTTCAAAGTTCTGTTTACCAAAACATTTACATTTATAAGAGAAATCTCCATTTGTAAAGGTATCTCCCTCTCTGTACTGGGAAGAGGAGGGTATGATCTTATTGCTGGAAACTCTTTTCAGTATGGAAGGAGAGGACTTAAATCTGCATACTTTTATTACTGTGCTTTTCCGGGAATCTCCCATAACTGACTCCTCCCACCTCCAACATCGTCCTTTGTCTTTAGCTGAATATAGTATTTAAGATGAGAACCTCCACCATTTTGTTGAGAAACTCAGTTTCCCTGGTTTCTCCCATGTATACATGTTATTGAACTTGGTATTATTTTCTCCTGCTAACCTGTCTTTTAATTATTTGGCCAGCCATAAGAACCTAAAGGGAAAGGGCGTGCTCTGCTTTATTAGTCTTGGAAAACATGAAAGAGGGTCACTTGGGGATGGGCTCTGAGCAAGCGGTTCATCACCGACACATGGGCTCTACTGGAACAAAGTTCCACATGCATCCAGCCCATCCTTCAATATCTGTACAGAAAGGACACAGGGGACTTGAGGGGAACATCTCCGTAGCTGGACACTTCAGCTCAGAAGTCACTAATTTAACTGATCACTTTAGGTAAGACATAAAATGTTGACTTTTAAACTAACTGGTTAAACTAAGTTTTCGGTGTTAAAAGACTACCAACATCCTTAGCAGATGCATAGTGAAATACTATAGTTATTTACAGACATCAAAGAATAGTTTCAAAATAGAGTAGAAGGCATATAAACCTCATTATCTGAACAATAAAACTAAGAATGAAAATAATTTGGAAATTTAAAAAGTACTTCAGTTAAAACAAGTGTGAGGATACATCAAATTTAGAAAGGAATGACATGAGCCACAGGGACAGAAAGTCCTCCATTTCTTGAAAGGCAAGAGGGTGACCTAGAATTGACTGAGCTGTCTCTGCCCTCAAGGTGGATAGGGGCTGGAAATGGAATTATCTTCCGATGCAATAATTAGAAAATGCAGATGCCTCATAAACCTGGATTTGTAACTCTCATTATGTTCTGCAAAACTTAAACAGTTTCACAAACCTGACATTAATTAGGTTGTAGAGGCACAAATCTGTACTACTTCACAACTTAATAACCCATATCCAATCAACTCAATACTAGCCGGGGTTTTGGACCCTGGCTTTCTCCACTGCTGTGTGTTTTGCTCTCTGTATTTGTCTCTGTGTCCTTCTGGTTCTCTCCTCTCCTTTGTCCATTTCTGTGTTTCTCTGTTTCTCCTCA